AATTGGCTAAAATTATTCTTTCCATTAATTACTAAGTTGACTAAGGTTGGATGATGATCAATATAGATATTATCTTCCTTCTTTTTTTCTACCTTGGCGGATTCTACTAGCAAAAGAAGAAGAAAAATCCTCTCTTCTTCCCATCTCTTCATTTCCGAAATTCTAAACAAAAAAAAAAAAAAAAAAAAAAAAAAAAAAAAAAAAAAACAAATTCTTTTCCTTTTCTTCTCTAAGAGTTGAAACAAACTACACATGCCAAAGGAGGAGAACTTAGAGCATTAAAAGATTAAAGAGATTTGGGAAGAATATGTTCCAAGTAAGTGATTGTCCTTTATCTTAATTTGCCCATCTTTGTTTTTTTTTTTTTTTTGTTTTTTTTTTTTTAATGAACTTTTGTTTGGTTGAAAGTTATGAATCAAGTGAATTATTTTATGAAAGTGTTATCTGAAAATTTTGGTATGATGTATTAGTCAAAAATGCATAAATATAAGATTTTGGTTGGTTGATTTTGTTGTATGAATCATATCTAGATAAATTATATTCATAATAGTTGAAATATATAATTTTTTAGTATTGAATATGTATTATGCTAAAAAAAATGAGTGTAATGTTTTATTATATGTTCTGTACTTACACATATATATACTTTTGTATGTATTTTGTATATAAAAAAAAACTTATTTTATTATTATCGTGTATATATATATATATATATATATATATATATATATATATATATATATATATATATATATATATATAAAATAAAGTTCATATGCGGTGGGGTCTTACCGTGCGGCGGAATTTCAGAATACACCAACAGTGTTAACAATATGCACCAACAGTGTAATAAAAACACACCACAATGAAATGTAATAAAACATTACAAAATACACAACAGACTCAAAAAAATATACCATATAACTCACCACCCCCAATGGTGTACTTTCGAACAGTGTATGGTGTTTTTACTCACACCTAATGGTGTGTGTTTGGTGATGCAGGGCTCTGTTTACTCTGTTTTGTGTGGTGTATTTTTCTAACGTTGATGGTGCATATTTGTTGAACTATTAATGTTGCCGCACCGTAAGAAATCGCCGGACCGTAAGACACTGCCGCACCTGAACTCGCCTATATATATATATATATATATATATATATATATATATATATATATATATATATATATATATATATATATATATATATATATATAGGATTCTATTCAGATACAAACAGTGCTTAAAATACAAACAGTGTGGATTCATCCGGGTCGTTGATTTTTTAAGTTGGATGTACAGGATTTTGTTGATTATTTATGGTAGTTTTTAATTAGAAGTTAGCAATCCGTGTGCCCATTGAGGGAATGCATCTAATCCGTTCATCTTAGCAAATCTAATGGTTATTTTTTGTCCGCACGTTTGTATTTTAAGGTAGTTTGCATGTGAATGCAACCCTATATGTATATATATATATATATATATATATATATATATATATATATATATATATATATATATATATATATATATATATATATGGTAGAGTTCCAGTGGGAACATGTCATTAGGTGAGAACGTGATAACATATCATGTGCATCCATCTAATATTTTTTAATGGTGTAGATTAGATTAAGTGTGTGCGAACGCGCATTAAATGTGTGCAAATGCGATTTAGTGTACTTGCACACATTTAATGCGCGTTCGCACACACTTAATCTAATCTAAACCATTAAAAAATATTAGATGGATGCACATGATGTGTTCTCACGTTCTCACCTAAGCACATGTTCTCATATGATCCTAACTATATATATATATATATATATATATATATATATATATATATATATATATATATATATATATATATATATATATATAGTTAGGATCATATGAGAACATGTGCTTAGGTGAGAACGTGAGAACACATCATGTGCATCCATCTAATATTTTTGAGCTTTTTGATTTGGTATTAAAAAGAAAGTCAAGCTATGCACGTGGTTTAGGTTTTAAGGGGGATAACTTCAAAAGCCCAGGAGAAGATTTTATTCAAGTAGAAATAAAAGCGAGCTCCAAATTAAAGAAGCGTGAAAAGAATTTAGAAGAAGAAGTTACAAAATTTAAAGAAATCGCACAAGCAGCTTTAGAGAAATTTTGCTCACTTAGCAAGCAATCAAGGGTTTCAAAATATGCTACGCAATGCATCTCCATCAACTACCCCAAGTGAAGAATAATCGAGACATTTTATTTTAAAACGCTTTTATTTGAATTCAGTTGTATTTCTTACAAAGTATATTCGTTAGACAACATTGTCTTTTTATATATATATTTTTTAATTTGACGAGTAACATTTGTTGAATGAATCTTTTTATTTCAAATAATAATTAAATTAAAACATTTAATTATGACAAGATTTTGAAATAAATAATTTTATATTTTGTGCATTTGGCTAGTATTATTTGGAAAGGGAATTGTGACCAAGTAATGGTCACAACAAAGTAATTGTTGATACCACTTTTTTTGGTTACTGATAATCATTTTTGTGTCAAGAACAATTCTCACAAATAAGTACAACGATTGTGACTAAAGTGTTGTCACAATAAAATAATTAATTGCAACGATTTTAATTGTCACTAGATCAATTTTTAGTAATAACATATTTGGTCTCAAATTATACATTTATTGTGACAACTATCGTTATCACTCAAATACTACTTTTAGTGTAAGCAAATATTGTCACAAAAATAGTGAGTAATTGTGACAACTTTTCAAAAGTCGTCACTACTACAATAGTGACGGAGGATATAGTGACGACAGGTGATGACTTCAAAAATTGGTCACTAATTTCAATAGTGACCAAAATTGATAGTTTCAGTGACAACTTCTGTTGTCACTAAATGTGAAATTTCTTGTAGTGGGGAGTGATCATTTAGAAATAAATCATTAAGATGCCACATTAAAGATTTTGGATTTAAGAGGCTTATACATCCCAAATTGGATTGTATGTCGAACAATAAGTCCAAAAGATTCCACGAGTATTAATCATGTATTTGTTCATATAAATTCATATTGATTGTGCAACATATTTATGAAGATGTTGTAACAATATTAAAGAGTACAGTTTATTAGAACAAAACATATAACTTGTGGTGCACTGTTAAGTAATAAATTCTTCAGCGTTTAATAGTCTTTAGTTTCTTCAAAATTGATCCTGGCCATTTTGATTTGTAAGGTTCAAGACAATTTTGCGAAACATAAAAGTAAGACCCATAATGTTCAGTTCATTTTGAGGTGGACCTTAATATTATTTGGGAAGTTATGGTGTATGTTTAAGATTCCAAAATTATGGAATTAGACATTTGGTTTATTGTCTAAGTTGTTGGAATTCTTCTATAACTAAACTATTTTTTATGAGTGGGAGTGACAGACGTGTCAACTTCGAGCTCTTAGCCGTTAGAAGTAGTGCTTATGTTAACTTATAAAGAAGTCATGGAATATAGTTAGCATTATGCTAACATTAAGAGATCTCTACTTAAGGCATGCTTGTAAGGATCTTAGAGATCATACAGTGTACTCTTTTGTACAATTTGGATGGTTTTCTCTCTTAAGTTGCGCATATATATTTTATTTTGAGAAACATCCCTTAAGGTACCAAGAATAAACATTAGGTTTGTTCATAAAGGATTCAAGTTGGGGAATCAAAAATGCATGTGATCATAGGAGATATTACTCACTTATTCAGTAGAGGACATATTACTATGGTTCGTGTGTTTTGTTCTTTAATGCGAATTGTGCTAGTACTTGCACCAAGTGGGAGACTGTAAGACTTTCCCGTATAATATATATTATATATTATGACTCGTACTTATGTGGTGCAAGTGGACTAGGCCCATTAAGTAATTGGTTGTGTTTGACCTTTAGGTTTAAGTCTGTATTCCACCAATGTGCCTATATAAAGCTTGTATTGATGGGATACAAGATACATGATTCATTATATGGTACTCATACTGCTAAGAAAATACCAATATACCATCTAGGGTTCTGAGTCAAGTATGAGACAAAACGGCTAACCCTATTCTCCAGATCTACTGTTCAAGAGACAATATAACAGGATATCCACCCTGGCTGAAGATCTACAGTGTTTCCGCTTCCACTACTATGAGTTAGGTTTCTCATAGATTATTCTCTGTATAATTAGATCATGTTTAGATCTCACACACCATTCATGATGCACACGGTTGCACAGCATAACGCTCCGATCCGGTCCTATTCCCATATATCCATCAATATTATATTATTTGTGATCCTTCGATTTGGTAAAAACCATAGATCTGAAGAATTTTTCATGACAAAAACATGTTTCATCCAATGAATATGTACTTAATTATTTTTTTGGTTTGAATGGGTCCACTTCTTGGTTACCAACAACCAGCGCAGCAAGTAGGCAACAATATAATCGCCGCGCTCTAAGGAGATGATAGATTATCTCTTTGGGGCGCGGCGAGGGGCCACGTAAACAACGGAAGATTGTAGAAGCAAGTCATGCAACCAATTAATTTGTGGACTTTATATTTATTTTTAAATGTTTTCCTTATACAATGATAAACACATTTCCATCAAGTACAAATTATAATTTTAAAAATCTTGAATGTTTTTAAAATGTATTCCGTATTTTGTATTCAACTTAACTTGAGAGAGCTGATAAGCGAATTATTAATATAACTATAATAAAAGATTGACTCTTGTATATATATATCATGTTAAAGAGTTCTGAAACAAATGTTACTATATCTTAAATTATTATATTATTATGGGAATTATTATAAATTTTTTTTTGAGTACTATCAACTTTATAATAAGGTATAACAATTTAATTTGTGAATTATAATTACAGGCTAACTAACATGCATATTATAATTTGTCCAAATTAAAATAACTCTCAATAACCAACCGTACACATCTGCATGATTTCTTCTATATATACACCCCAACCTACATTCCAATCCACCAAAACTCAGATCAACCTCAATCTACTTTGTTTCCTTTATACATTTTATTGACAATCTGAGGAAAAACCATGAATATTAAGATAGAAAGCACCAGAATCGTTAAACCTTTGTATGAAGGCAATCCTCCAATAACCACAAGCCATGTTCCTCTTAGTGTGTTTGATAAGGCCTCCTTTGATACTCATATTGGCATTATTTATGCCTATCGCCCACCCACCCCTTCGAATAGCACAATCGAGTTAGGGCTTAAAAAAGCGCTTGCAGTATATAGGGAGTGGGCAGGGAGATTGGGAAAAGACGAGAAGGGCAACTCTGTTATTTTGCTGAATGACAAAGGCGTGAAGTTTGTAGAGGCGTCAGGTGACACCACTCTTGATAAGGTAATGCCTTTCAAGCCATCTGCCTCTTTACTTAACCTTCACCCTAGTCTCATGGGGGTGGCGGAGTTGATCCAAGTCCAACTCACACGTTTCAAATGCGGCTCTCTAGTGGTCGGATTCACTAGCCAGCACCTTGTGGCGGATGGCCACTCCACCAGCAATTTCTTGGTTGCATGGGGCAAAGCTTGTCGCGAGGTTATGATTCAGCCCTTACCATTATGCGACCGCACCATTTTCAGCCCGAGAAATCCACCCAGAATCGAGTATGACCACGTTGGGGCTGAATACATGCATAAACAAATAAAGAAAGACGATGCAACAATCTTGGACGACATCATGGTTCACAAAGTCCACTTCACCTTAGAGTTCCTAGCCAAGCTCAAGGCAAAGGCCTCCGCCATGAACGGCGACGCCAAACCATACAGCACCTTCGAAAGCCTCGCGGCTCATCTATGGCGAACCATAACAAAGGCAAGAAACCTCGGAGGTTTCGAAACTACCCACATAAGAATCGCAGTTGATGGTCGTGCACGCCTTAACCCCAAAGTTCCCAGCGAGTATTTCGGGAACTTGGTTTTGTGGGCATTTCCCACCACCAAGGTTAAAGACTTATTGCGTGAGCCTCTTCCGTACGCAGCTAAGCTCATCCACGATGCCGTTTCGAAGGTCAACAACAACTACTTCAGATCCTTCATAGATTTTGCAAATTCCAAGGTGATCGTTGAGGAAGATGGTCTTGTTCCAACCGCTGACGTGGACAAGCTCATTCTTTGCCCCAATCTGGAGGTTGATAGCTTGCTAAGGTTTCCATTCTACGACTTAGATTTTGGAACTGGGTGTCCGTACATTTTCATGCCGACATTTTTGCCGGTAGAAGGATTGATGTTTTTTCTTCCTTCCTTCATTGGAGATGGAAGCATTGATGCTTTTATTGCTTTGTTCGAAGACAACTTGGCTACCTTCAAGCAGATTTGCTATTCTCTTGAATAAGGGGGCATTTATTTCAGTTATATAATATAATATAATCAAGAGAATATGGCATTTCAAAGCTCACATTTTACTGTTTGGTTTATATTATCTTAGAAAATCTAACATTTCCAAGGAATGTCACATTCCCTCCACATAGAATTTTGTAGGGAATGTGATTCACTTCAAAATCTTAGATAATGTAAGATAACCTTGGTTATGTTAGTTTATATATATATATATATATATATATATATATATATATATAATTATTTATGTAATAATATATATATTTTTTATTTTTATTATGTTATGTTAGCATATAAAATAATTTTGTTTCTCAAGTTCAAGATTTTAGTTAATATTTTAAAATCATGTAATTATATATGATACCATTATCTTATTTATTTATTTTAATTTTTAAATTTATTAAAATATATGAAAATATGTTAAAGGATATTATAGTGTGTATAAAAGATAACCGTAAACCAAACATGATTATATTACATACCCCAATTTTAACCAAACATAGGAATTTAACATTCCCAGCAACAGTTTTTACACTTTTGGTCCTACGACTATAGTGGCACTAGCAGAATTGATCCACGACTTTTGAACCTTGCAATTTTAGTCCACAACTATTGATTTTTTTTGCAAAAATGGTCCTTCCGGCCACTTTTCCGTCAAAATTCCACCGGAATTTTTTTTTATTCATTTTTAACAGGGCTAAAATTGACATTTTACTTATCTCAAAATATAGAGGAAATACATAAAAGGGAAAGGTAAAAGCGATTGCATTTGAGAATCTCCGCCGCTTCTCTCGCTGGAAATCTATACAACGAAGCTTTTTCGATGTCTTCGGATGATCCCGCAGGCGTGCTGGCTCCGCCTCCAATGCTGCTGCTGGATAACCCAACTAGCTCGGGGAACGCCACGGCCGCTCCGCCGCTTACTGACAGCCTTACCTGCTCCAGGAACTCCGCCGCCTGGAGCAGTAGTATGTAGCCCAGTAATATTGTATGTAGTCAAATGTCAATTTTTTTCTTTTATTTGTTGAGATAAGTAAAATGTCAATTTTAGCCCTGTTAAAAATGGATTAAAAAAATTTTCCGGTGGAATTTTGACAGAAAAGTGACCGGAAGGACCATTTTTGCAAAAAAAATCAATAGTCGTGGACTAAATAAAATTGCAAGGTTCAAAAGTCGTAGATCAATTCTGCTAGTGTCACTATAATCGTGGGACTAAAAGTGTAAAAAACTCTTCCCAGCAATCTAGCATTCCCTAAGGTAATCTGACATTCCGTGAATCAAACGACCCCTAAAGGCTTTGTTTATCCCAACATTACTTTCTCATTTTCTACTTGTAATTCGAATAATATATGCTACACACTCTTCCAAATATTTCGGTCCTTAATACATTTCTTGTCGTGTCACTAACTAAATGGCTACTCTAGTGTTTAATTATGGCCTTATGGGTCCATTTGGCAGTGGTGGTTGTAATGTGTTGTTGGTGTTGGTGTTAGTTGAAGTTGTGTGGTCGTGATGTGTGTAGTGGTGATAATGGTAATAATAATCTAGAAATTAGAAAAAAGATGTGAGAGAAGATAAATATGGAAAAATAAAAAATAGGGAAGATGATATTTTTCCCCCTTAAGTTATATATTTATAGCACTTTTCTCCCTGAATTATTTAAGTGACTCTTTTTCTTTCTGAAATGTTTAATGGACATATTTACCTTTAAAATAAATATTTCATTTATTTTTCTTTTCTAACAAATTATTACTTAATTTGGTTTAAACCAAAGAGATACTATAGCAACCAAACTAAAATACTCCAATTACAATTTAGAATCAAAACGCGATATTTAGAGTTTATTAAAATCGCGAACCGGAATGACCGGTTCATGTTCCAAACTAAAAATATAAAATACATTTTTTGTTGAATGTAGACTATTTTAAAATAAAGACGGTTCAAAATCACGAACCGGATCCGGAACCACCGGTTCACGGTTCAAAGTCCAGTTTTTTTTTTATTCATAAATTTAATAAATAGAAATCCAAATATTGGGTTTTAGATCTGAATCATAACCAAAAACTTTTAATTCGATTACTATATTGTCCGGTTCAGTTCGAATCAAACCGTGGTCATTGCTACATATACACAATAATTTGTTGGAGAAGTAAAATAAATAAAATGTTTACTTTAAGGGTAAAAATGTCAATTTAATATATCAGGGGGAAAAATCACCACTTTTAAAATAATTGAGGGGACTAATGTGCTTACATAAATAATTGAGGGGGAAAAAGTGCTATAAGTATATAACTTAAGGGGAAAATGTGTCATTTTCCCTAAAAAAAAATTCCAAAAATGTCTTTCGATTAACAATCTAAGAAGACATTTTATGTCAAATTGAGCCTTTTTTCGAGTTTCTAAATTTACATCATATCACACCACATGACATAATTTTAATGAATGAAAGTTACTGGCTCTATTACATTGTAGTATCTGTTCATATACTTTCTCAATCTACTGAAACACAAAGAACGCATCCACTAAGGCTTGAACTCATAATCTTCTAAATGGAAGTCCAACCCAAGTACCATTAGACCACATAGTCCTGGTTGTAACTATTCACTTTTAATTCAACAACAGATTCATTATTTTGCGTAAATTTTTATTTGAACTTTAAATATTAGCTGATAAATTAAATGAAATTAAATATGAATAATGTTACAAGAATCTAGTCGAAGTTGCTATGAAACTATAACGAGCGTTTGGTTGGATGTAATTTGATTGTAATTGAATTGTAATTTAATGAAGGCTTGAATTACAGTGTTTTGTTGACACTACTACCCTTGATTTTTATTGATATTATTAATACTAGTATTTGTCCCGTGCGATGCACGGAAAATATGTTATAAAAATATACACTATATGAGGTTTATGCATATATAAATTTTTTGTTATTTAATAATTATTATGTGTGAATTCCTATGATAAAATTATGAACATAAATATATTTACAATTAAAATAATATTTAAGGTGGTGATTATTACAAATCTTAAACTATATTAAAAATTTAGTGCATAGTATTTAATATTATAAATTTGTAAGAACTTAGTAAACTACAATAGTAACTGAATTACAATTTTAGAGTCACCACGGATCAAAATTTTTAGACCTT